CCCCACCCACCTGCCCCGTTTTATTTTATATAATTTTCTCCATGTGTCCTCCATCTCCGCCCCTTTACACCTGCCAAGTAACAAGATGACGAGTGCCCTCTGAGTATGTTTGTTATTAGCCCGCTGACTACGGGGACCCGGGCTGGGGGGGTCCTCGGAGTGGAGGCCGGCTCTCTGGCCGTCCCTGAGGTCCAGGAGGGGCGGCAGGACCACTGACTCAGTCCTGACCTTGCCCCGGGGCCAGAGGAGTGGTCTCCAGCTCTTGGTGCCCCTCGGACACAGCCTCTGCAGCGTGGCAGGGTGGTGCCCGTGGGAGGATGGAACCATCCTCGTGGACCTGGAGCCCCTGCCTGCCCCTGCCTCCCCACATGGCCCTGGCCTTAACTCAGAGCACCCCACCCCGCCCCTAGGGGAGAGCAGTTCATTCCACGAGACCCAAGTTGCCAATTGCTTAGATGCGGCGGGGCCATTGGCTGCTGCCCGCCCACCTGCCTGCGCGCCTGTCCTGGAGCAGGAAGTGCCTTTATCTCAGCCGTCCTCGCAAGCCAGCAGCTGTCCCCCGCTGTCCCCTTGGACGAGAAATTGGGACAAGTTGGAGAGAGGGAGGTGTGTCTTCATCTCCCCCTCGTGTCCCACCCCCCACACACACTGGGATTTGATTGATTCAAAGGAAGAGGAAAGATGCACCCCACCCGCCTGAGTTTGGGGAAGGTCTGAGTGAGTGAATCTGGAGCAGAAGCTAAGGGAGGAGGTGCTGGCAGGTGCCCGCAGGAGGTGGGCCACGGGGACCATGGCCGGGGACGCTCAGAGTGGCCCTTGTGGCCTTGGTGGCTGCCCTGCCCCACCCCGTGTGCCTGGGGAAGCCTCTGTCTGTCTGTCTCTTTAGACATCCATTGGGCCCAAGATGCTCTGGTTAATTGAATGCCCAGTTGGGCACCCCAGATGCACACTCAGCCCTCCCGCCCAGGCCGTGCTGATGCTGCCGCCAGGGAGGTGGGAGGCCAGGGAAGCCTGACTTTGTGTTGCCCTAAGTTTGCCTGGGCCTCTGTCCACCTCCCCCCGCAACCCCGGAGCCCATCATAACGACCCCCAGAGAGGGATTGGCCAGGGGTCAGGTGTGCACGGCCCACTGCTGGGCTGCAGAGCGGGCTTCACGTCTGCACGGCTCAGGCCTGTGAGCTTAGACACGGGGAGATGCAGGGCCATCTGCAGACCCCTGGCTTGGTGAGAAATGTGGTGGGAGGGGTGGGTGCAGATTGACCTGGCACGTGCGCACGTGCGTGTGTGCGTCATCGCTTTGCGTGTTTGCTCCCTCCCCACCCAAGAGAGGAAGGACCCCTTAGCGAAACGGTTTACTTGCCAACTTGCCATTTTTTGCCAAAAACCGAGATGTTGAAGGACGCGTCTGTCTCCAGCGTCGGGGTCGCAGCCTCCGTCCCAGGATGCCTTCGCTTTCCTTGTCTGTAGCCAGATTTTGAAACATTGTTAGTTTCCCTGGGATCTGTTCCACAGTGGCCTTTCGCTATGTGCCTCTTGAGAAATTCGTCTCTTTTTGTATAAATAACAAAGTGTTGAAAATGTATTTCCTGAAATAAATGTTCCAAATGCAAACCCAGCAGGCTCTGGAGTGGGGATTTTTTTCTCTTTTCTGACCCCGGAAGTGCAGATGAGTGTGAAGACAGCGTGAAAGTGATGGCTGGGGAACTGTTTAATCTCCTTTCCGGTGGGGGGAGGGGGGGAAGAAAGGTTTCAGGGACTTAGAAGCACTGATTTAAGGGGACGATTGAAAAGAGACCAGAGAATCTTAATTTATTCATTACAAGGAGGCTTTGCAGGGTTTCCACAGGGCAGTACTGTGAGCTGCTTTTATTACTGTATCCCTGGAAATGTTTTTCTTGTTAAAATTGAAATCTATTGCAGTGAGCTCTATGAGCTGGTCAATATTTGACAATAATTTCATACAAATTTATTCCAAGAGAACTTGGCCCCCAAAAGACTAGAATATAAGAGGCTGCCATGCGAGGTTTTCTCTGCATCCCGAGAGCTGGGGAGTGAGGCTGGGGGTCCGGGTCCAGATTCTTAGCTGTGCGCAGGCCTCACCAGCCCCTTTCTCCCTCGTGGCAGGGTGGCCTGGGGCTGCTGTCACAAATCTCCACAAACTGGGGGGGCTTAAAGGAACAGAACTGGATTCTCTCATAGTCTGGAGGCCAGACGTCCAAGGTCGTGGTGTGGGCAGAGCCGGGCTCCCTCTGAAGGTCCAGGAGGAGCCTTCCTGCCTCTTCCAGCTTCAGTGGCTGCATCACTCCAATCTCTGCCTCCTTCACGGGACCTCTGTGTCTCTCTGTCTCTCATTGGATCTCAGGCCCACCCTAATCCAGGGTGACCTCATCTCGGTCCTTATCTTAACATCTGCAAAGACCCTGTCTCCAAATAAAGCCGCATTCTGAGGTTCCAAGTGGACATGAATTTGGGGAGTCAGGGGTCACTGTTCAACGATACCCCCCATGCCTGCCCCCACCCCGTCTCAGGCTTCAGGACAAGGCAGGCAGCCAAGGTGGGGAGCAGGAAAGCCCTGAATTGGGACTCTGGTGACTTGGGCTCGAGGCTCTGCCACCAGCGAGTTGGGTGGCCTTAGCCCCTCGGGGCCCCCCGGGCCCTTTTGTCAGGCAGGTTGGCTCATTCTGGAGAAGACAAGTGGATTTCATCTCCACACGAGCCGATGGGCAGTGGCCACACGGAGCCTCTACTTCCAGGATCCGAGGCCCCATGTCTGCTGTGGGCTCAGGAGCGGAGGGGAGGGGAGGGGAGGGTTGGCCCACACGCGGGGCTGCGACCCTGCTGGCCAGCATCTGAAGGCACTCCTGGCTCTGCCGGCTTTGCCCAATCCCTCGATTCCTTGTCTGTAGCTCTTGGCAGTTCCTGCACTTGAAGCCCCCATTCCTCCTCCAGACTAAAACCATTCCCGTTGCCGCCCCTGCCGGCCATGCCTGTCCAGCAGCTTCTCTCTCTGTGGCCCTGACCCTCCGGGGCTGACACCAGCTCCAAGCCGTGCACCTCCTCCAAGGGGCCTGTTTACCATGTCCAGCCGGCTCCCTGACCCTTACACTGCTGTCACCTCGATAGCCCGCCTGACTCCGGGACCAAGAAGGGCCTGGGCCATCATCTCCGCCCAGCTCATCTGTACCTCCCATCCAAGGGCAGCCCAGGAAGGCTCAGTGATGAGTTCTCCCACCTTCTACCCAGCCAATTAAATCCCCTGCTGTAGATCCAGGTGACTGAATGTCCCAGTTTGCCTGGGAATGAGGGGTTTCCAAAGACACATTACTTCCCGTGCTAAAACCAGGGAGATCCTGGGAAGACTAAACGAGTTTGTCCCTGCGTAGACCCCACACCACCTTCTCCTGCCCCTTGGAGCCCCGGCCTCAGGCTCCCCGGCCCAAGGGGCTCCTAAAGGACCTCAAGATCCAGGCTGGGCTGTCGCCAAGAAGTCCCAGGGGGATGAGCCACAGCCTCCTGCTGGCCTGAGCACCTGCTTGGGGGGGGGGGGCGGTTGGGATGTCCCAATGGGGCTGCAAGGCCCAGGTGTCCTGTGTCACCTCCTCCCCTGCTCTGGGCTGCAGGGTTTGGACAAAAGACAGAAAATCAACAGGTAGCCTTTGGGTTTGCCCAGACCTACTTTGCCTCGTATGCATCCTACGCGGACCCAAGGCAGGTAGGCTCCACCTGGGGAGGAAGCCAGATGGAAATCAGCCAACTCAGGGCTCTCCTTTCGGATCTGTATTTATGGGTGTGCCCCTCCCATTTGTAAACACTACTTTCTGACTACAAAGTTAGCACGTACAACATAGGCCATCCGGAAAATGCCAGACAAGAAGGCCCCAAGGGCCCGATGGTTATGTATTGTCCGTGGTGCTAAGTGCTGGATGGAGAACTTCGGGGCTGCAGGGTCATATAATGGGGGGACCCAACCCATTCCGGGGCGGCATCAGGAAGGTCCTCCTTTGTGCAAAGGTCTGAGACACGAGGGAGCTCAGAGTTGGAGAAACCAGGAGGCCAGAGAGGCTGGAAGGTGGGGAGAGGTCGGGGGCCAGGCCATGATGGGGGCCGATTCTCTCCCAGGCCACGCGCTACAGGGCGAGCGACCGCCTGCACCAGGCTCTCCTGCCCGCACCCCTGGAGGTGGGACTCATCCTCTCACAGGTCCGGCCAGCCAGAGCCAGAGCGGGGTCTGTGTGAGCCCCCGTGGGTTCGCCTCCGAGCCTCTGCCCCGCGCTCCCAGGATTGGCTCCGGGGCCACGCCTGCTACAGGCCATCCTCCACGCTTGGGGGCCTGGCCAGCCCTTGAGGGTCCTGTGGGCAGCGCTGTACAGCTGTGCAGCCGCTGCTTCCCCGGCAAGCAGGGGGTTCCTCTGGGCCTTGGAGAAATCACAGCTGCA